GAGGAGGAGAAGGAGGGGGGAGGGGTGGGAGAGAGGGGGAGGTATTACCACGCTGAGAGAAAAGTCGATATGTTTAATAATTCCGAGTGAGTGAAGGGCCGTGTGTGTGTGTGTGTGTGTGTGTGTGTGTGTGTGTGTGTGTGTGGTGTGTGTGTGTGTGTGTGTGTGTGTGTGTGTGTGTGTGTATGTGTGTGTGTGTGTGTGTGATATTGAGAATCGCGCTGAAAGATGCTTCAACTGAGAAATAAAATTTTGCATAAAGAAACTGTGATCTCGAAAGCCAGATATTAATGAATGTTAGAAGCAAAAACGACAATAAAATGTCAATCATGATCATTATCATAACACTGATAATATATATATATATATATATATATATATAATATATATATATATATATATATATATATGCACACACACACACACACACACACACACACAGATATATATATATATATATATATATATATATATATATATATATATGTATATATATAAATTTATGTATACATATATATACATATCTCTATCTCTATCTCTATCTCTATCTCTATCTCTATCTCTATCTCTATCTCTATCTATCTATCTATCTATCTATCTATCTATCTATCTATCTATCTATCTATCTATCTATCTATCTATCTATCTATCTATCTAATATAATATATATATTATATATATATATATATATATATGATATATGATATACATACACACATCCATCGATGACATTGCAGAGAAAGAAAACTCGTAAAAGTGTTTCATTTAGCCAGTGTAATAATGTCGATAAGTCTTGATAAAGCGAGACAAAGGAACGCCGTGGGAAGCAAAGCGACGTTAAGTGTGAGAGAAAAGTCAGAAAAAGTATTGAAGCTGAAAAGGAAGGTAGAAAGCGAGAAAAAAACGATAAGAATAAGAAAACAATGACGAACAACAATTACAAAAAATAGCATTGACAGTATAACAGAAATGTCAAGTCTAAGAATGTTTTTCTTCCATTTTACTAGCATTAACGTCAGTTAAAAAGGATTATAGACTAAGCAACTGAAGGAAAGTAAATCTAAAATATCACTAATAGATTACTGAGAAAAAAAATAAGAACAGTAGTACACCAGATATTTTTTTTTTACTTTCTTGCTCGACATATTAGAAAAAATACATAAGTAAAAACACCTAAAAAAACCTTATTTTCATAATTCTTTCCACTGGCGAATCAACACAAAGGATCAAGGGAGCGAGACGCTTGAGGGCGAGCGCGGGAGCCACAAGACGTCTCGAGGGCGGGCGGCACGTCGACGGTGAAGCTTGAGGAGCACTGCGTTACGGTGACTGGAACTCTCGTATCGAAGGGAGGGAGTAAAGGAGGGAGGGAGGGAGGGAGGGAAGGGAGGAAGGGGAGGAGTGAAGGAAGGAAGGAATGAGGGAGGGATGGGAGGAGTGAAGGAAGGAAGGAGGGAGTGAAGGAAGGAAGGAAGGAGGGAGGGAGGGAGTGAAGGGAGGCCCTCCAGGAAGGAGGGAGGAAGGGAATAAAGGAAAGAGAGAGAGTAACGGATGAAGGGAGTGAAGGAAGGGGATAAAGAAAGGAGGTAGGGAGGGAATGCTAAAAAAGGAGTAAAAGATACAAGAAATGACGAAAGGAGATAGGGAGGAAAGAAAGAAAGAAAGGAAGACATTATATCAGTTCGCGAGCGGTCAAAACCCAGGCGGTTCCCACGATCCGCCGGCCGATACGAAGCGCTCCCGTGCCAGACCTGCAGACGCTGGGACACACACACGCATCACGTTTTTATTTTCCCTTTTTCTCTCTTTCTTTCTTTTCAGATGTCTTAAGCAATTGTACTTTCTTCAATCACCAATTCCATCAATTAATTTCTGCGGCGAAGTATAACCTCACGTATTTATTTTGTAGTCGCTTTAAAGAAACAAAATCCACGAAAATGAGGAACATTTCCAATCATGAAGTTCATCAGGATATAAAAAAAAAGGATTTCCCTATTGCTCATTCTCCTTAACGCGGGTGTCTTAATTATCCATCTAATAGGCGATAAATTAAGACTCAAGTGCGGCCCGGAATATCCCCAAAGACCTTAATTATACGCCCTAATCAAAAAGTCACAACGAAAATAAATTGGAGAAAATGAGGCCGATGAGACACAATGTAACTCAAGCGGCAGGAAAATTGCGTGGACTTGACAACGAGATTTGAAAATGTACTTGAATACAAGGTGATTGCTTGAATAGACACATAAATGCAACGTTTTCTTTAATCGTCTTCCTTTTCCTGTTTTCGTTTTCTGTAATCACACAAATACTGGATTTTTTTTCTTATTATCCAATCTTTCTTTCGTCGCCTTCTCCTTCTTTTGTGTATCTTCTTGTGGTTCTCCTGGCTAGCTATTCCTTCTTCATCTTCTCATTTCCTCTATTTATCTCGTATTGATTCTCCTCCATTAGCTAATATTTTTGCTCCTCCTCTCCTCCATTCTCTCCTCCTCCTTCTTCTCCTATTTTTTTCCTTCTGTTCCCTTTTTATTTCTTCCTCCTCCTTCAATTATGTCCTTTGCTTGACGTCTTTCCCTTCCTCTTCTCCCATCTTCATTTCCTTCTTTTCTTTCTCCCATGCCTTTCTTCTCCATGCCTTTTCCTTATCTTCTTTTCCTCTCCCCATTTTCATTTCCTTCTCCTTCTCCCATGCCTTTTCATTACCTTATTTCCCCTTCTCTTTTTCTCTTCTCTCCTCCCATGCCTTTCCTTATCTTCTTTCCCCCTCTTCCTCTCCCAATTTCATTTACTTCTCCTCCTATGCCTTTTCCTTATCTTCTTCCCCTCTTCTACCGTCTTCCTCCGCAGAAAAGAGGACGCGCTGTCTTCATTCAGAACAAAAACCGCGCCATAAAGCAATTTCTCTTTCCCTTTCTCCGGCTCCGGTCGCCGTATTATTTCGTCTTTTTGTGATTTCCCTTCCTTTTTATTCGCATCTTCAAGACAATGGCTCGGGGCGGGGGTGATGGTGGGGGAATGGAGGGGATAGGGATGGGGGGGGTGGAAGTGGGGGTGTTGGAAGGAAGAGGACGGTGTCTTTCTGCGTTTCTTGACATAGCTAAACACACAAGACAAACTCACACGTCATACAAGTAAACATACACATACACATATAAACTAACACACACATGATAACAAATACATGCAGATACACACACGCATGCAAACAAACATATACATACACATATAAACTTACTTTAAAAACATACACACACGTACTCACCATCAACAAACAAATCCATACACCCCCTTCCCAACATACACACAACCCGCCCCCCAATCCACTACCATGACATACATACAAAAAAAAACATACATACACTTTCCTCCTCGACACACACAACACCCACGCCCAGCCCCTTCCTCCCCCATGACACATACACACAAACGAACAAACATACGCTTCCTCCCCAACACATACACATCACCCACCCCATCCCCACCCCCTACCTCCTCATTACGCATACACACAAACAAACAAACAAACAAACACACCGCAAACAAAGTCAACACCGAAATCAACAAACACGAGACCAGCGCGCCATGGTCCCAGACCAGGCCGGGATGTTGTCTGGCCGGCGTCGCTCTGCATGACCCTCCGTGTTGTGCGGTCTGTCTGCTGGGCGGTGCGATAGACGGAGGGGTGGGGAGGGGGGAGGGGGTGGGAGGGGAGGGGAGGGGAGGGGAGGGGAGGGAGGGAGGGGAGGGAGAGAGGAAGGAAGGAGGGAGGGAGGGAGGAAAGGAGTAAGAAGGAGAGGAGAGAATGGGAGAAAGAAGAAAAACAGAGAGAAGAGAGAGAGAGAAAAGAGAGAGAGAGAGAGAGAGAGAGAGAGAGAGAGAGAGAGAGAGAGAGAGAGAGAGAGAGAGAGAGAGAGAGAGAGAGAGAGAGAGAGAGAGACAGAATCAACATACAGACAGACGCAGAGACCATATAGTGAGACAGAACAAACGGAAAAAAGAGACATGAAAAACACAACACAAAAGCAGAAAAATGCGTAATTGTAGCCCAGAGCCGCAGCGCACAGAGGGCAGGGAGGAAGAGTACACAGGAGTACATATTAGAGCACGTAACAGAGTACACAGAGAGCGGGACCGGACAGCGTAAGCACCGCACTGCAACCGGATGTGCGGCCGTACACATGGGGTGCGCGTGGCTGCCCCTTCCGAATTTCCGCTCCCCCCTCCCTCCCCCTGCCGCTCCTCCTCCCCTTCTCTCTTTGTCTTTGCCTTCTCTCCTTTTCCATCCTCCTCTTCCTATTGTTCCTTTTCCTCTCTCTCTCTCTCTCTCTCTCTCTCTCTCTCTAATGCTCTTCCCATTCTCTCTTTGTATCTGCATTTCTCCTCTTTTCCGCCTCCTCTTCTCCTCTCACTTCTCTGTCTCTTCTTCCAACTCCTCTTCCCCTACTCTCTTTGTCCTTGTCCTTTTTCCCATTCTTCTCTCCCTCTCGTTCTCCTTCCTTCTCCGTCTCTCTTTTCACGGTCT